AACTATTAGAAAATTTCCATATAATTGTATTTAAAATGAGTTTTTTAGATCAGCTTTTAAAAAATTTATATTTTTCAGAAGAGATATTGAGGAATATTCGGTATTAAGCTGTTATACAGGTAGGGACCACGATATGCAATAGAGAATTGGAATAATTTACTTTTTTTCAAGGGTATTATATTGTTTCCAGTTGCTCTAGTGCTAAATTTATTTATATCAGTTTTAAATTTTTTTTATAAATCGGCTTGAAACAGATTCCATTTTATGTTTTAATACAACAAAATATTTTGATGTTACATTAAATAAATTTTTGATATTAAGGTGGTACCAGGGTAAAAAAAGAGCTATTTTTGGTAAAATTTTGAAAAATACGAAAATGAATGTTTTGAATTCTTAAATCTACCTATTTCAATATACATTTTTCAAAAAGTTGAAAATATTCTATATTTTCATCAAATTTGCCCTTTTTTGAAAAGCAGTTTGGTTCCGGCTTCATAGCAACGACCTTAGCAACGCTTTTTCTCCAATATCTCCTAAACCAAAAAAGCGATTAACATCAAATTTTTCTAAGCAATGCTCAAGACGTTAGACTTCTCCTTTAATATTTTTAGAAGCTATAAGCTGTACGTTGAAACCACAAGAGTTGTTCTCAAAGTAGAGCTCCTGAAGGACGGTAGTTAACTTTTGTCAATGCTTCCTTCAGTTTAAATTGAGTTATAATTAAAGATTTATTAGTGTTTTTATTTACAAATGGGTTCTTCAAGCAGGTATAAGTCCTCTAAAGGTAACAAAAGAAAGGTTTTTAGAGGAAAAATTACAAGAAATGATGGTAATACAGCATCAAATGTTACAAAAAAAGTTGTAAATAAATCAGCTTCTGCAGAGAAGTTAGATATTTCTTTAGAATCGAAAGACAATTCTTCATCTCCTCTCACTGCATTCGATTGTAACTTTATTATTAACAGTGAATTATTTGTATCTTTAATTACTACCATTGGTCGATGTCCTGATTGCATGAGCAGTATCAGCATTAAACATTTGATTTTGGAAAAAAGGGGATTAGCACAATTCTTCAAAATTTCTTGCAACAATTGCGATTGGAACTTAAAGTTTTGTTCTTCAAAGGAATGTAATAGATTATCTAATGCTCCAGGAAGAAGTAGTTATGAAGTAAATAAAAGGGTACTTATTGCTTTTCGGGAGAATGGTCAGGGGTATGCTCCATTGAAAACATTTTGCCGGTGCATGAATATGCTACCACCGATGACTCAAACAACGTTTGATGACTTGAACTCTGTTTTGCATAATGCTTATGTACAAACATCTCATGAATCGATGACTAAAGCTGGAAAAAGAGTTAATTATATGTCTGAAAATACAAATAGTAATTTTTCCCAGAATGCAAAAGTCAGTGGTGATGGTACATGGCAAAAAAGGGGTTACTCATCCCTTAACGGTGTTGTGACACTAATTTCAAAAGGCAAATGCATTGACTTTGAGGTTTTATCAAAGAAATGCAAACAGTGCGAAAGATGGGCGCATAAAAAGGACACTATTGGTTATTTTTATTGGAAAGCTTCACATATTTGTTCTATTAACCATACTGGCAGTTCAGGTGCGATGGAAGTTGAAGGCTTAAAAAAAATGTTTCACCGATCAGAACGGTTGCATAACTTACGATATACCTTTTACATAGGCGACGGAGATACTAAATCTTTTGATGAGGTATCAAAATCTGATCCTTATCCAGGTTACAAAATTATTAAAGGAGAATGTGTGGGACATGTTCAGAAACGTGTTGGGGCACGTCTTCGCACAATTAAAGCTAACTATAAGGGGAAAAAACTTGCTGATGGTAAAGGAATTGGAGGTGGGAAAGGAAGGCTAACTGAAAAAGTGATGAATACCTTGCAAAATCACTATGGTATGGCTATTAGGCAGAATACCAACAATATATATGCAATGAAGAAAGCAATTGCTGCAGTTTTACACCATTCAAGTGAGCACGATGATCCTGAAAAACGACATCAGTATTGTCCTCGTACAGCTGAAACTTGGTGTAAATTTCAAAGAAACAAAATTAATGGTAAAACATACAAAGATAATATTAGTATTGACACAGCTGTCTGTGAAATAATTAAACCAGTATTTTCTTTTAAAGATCTCGGTTGCGATGAACTTTTGAAAAAGTGTATGCACGGTGAAACTCAAAACGTCAACGAGTCTCTCAATAATATTATTTGGACAAAATGCCCGAAACAAACTTATGTTGGGAATAGTACTTTAAAAATGTCTGTAGCTTCTGCTGTTATTAACTATAATGATGGGGCTACAGGACTACTTCCTGTGTTTACCAAATTAGGTGTAGATTGTGGTTTTTATACTACAGAGGGAAGTAAAAATAAAGATATTAATCGTGTCAAACAATCAGACCATATTAACCGAGATCATGTTAAAAAAAGACGTAAAAAGCTCAGAGCCATGAGAAAAGGATATAATGATCAAGATAAACTTGAAGAGGGAGAGACATATGGTTACGGTCAATTTTGAATAGTTATGTTAGAAAATATTATTAGTATTTTACTTTTTAAAATTTGTTTTTGCTTTTTTGTCACTTTTTTTTTCTCACTAAATTGCAATTTTTCAGAAAAAATAACTTCCGATAGAAAGTAGCTAAAGGGCTGAAATTTTGCAGGATTAAAGATGAACATATTAGGAATGTTGTCTATGAAGCAATTTTTTTTAATTTTTTTTTTAAAAGTGATTTTTATCATGTTTTGGTCTTGAACTTCCCTTAAATTTTATATTTTAAAGTTTGAATGTCAACCTGGTAAAATTAAAAAAGTTTAAAAAAAATCTGTTTCATAGACAACATTCTAAATACGTTAATGAACATAAGTTTAAATTTTCAAACAGTTTTGACAATTTTTAAGTTAGTTATATTAGATGAAAGAGTAGGCAGTTTTAGGGGTAAAATAACACTAATTATGCTCATAATCAATGACGTCATCACTAAAAAAAAAAAATTTTATACTAATTTATATTTTTTTTGTCCACTAATAAAAAAGAGCTAAAGTATGATGATATTTTTTAATTTTTTGTTAAAAAAGTCGCCTTTACCCTGGTACCACCTTAAATTGAATGAATATTTGTAAAAGTTTGTTTAAGTTTAAATAAAAAGCTTCAGGTTTAAATAATTGAATTTTTTTAGATTTATATTTTCAGCCCTACTGTTGACGTCAGAGTGAGATAATGGTATTGTTTAAATAAAAAATTAAAAAACTTTTAATTTACGGGGGTTTACCCAAAACGAGCTGTTCTAATTGAGAAATCAAGGTGTTCTAATTAAAGTAACCAGTTGTCTTGATTGGAACAAAATGGTGCTTTGACAAAGTTATTTTCAATAACAGTTCAATCTCTTAAGCCAAATTAAAAGTAGAGAGCCTACCAATTTGGTCACTATTTGGTATTCTGCCTATTCGGCTACTTTTTCGGTATTTAGCCGAATGTTGCAAAATATTCTGTCAAATACCGAATACAGATGTAAAGAAAAAACGCATTTAAAAGAATTACATATAACTATTAATTTTTTATAATAACAAATAATTAGCACAATTGATACTTAAAACCTTTAAATGGTAAGTTATAATATAAACATTTTCATCCCTGTGGTTGCTATCATCAAGATAGCAAAGGATTGCGCTATTTTTCATAAATTGTTCACGCTTCCAAAAATATCCATTCACTACGAGCACTGATTCACTACGTCCACTGATTCATTATGTGCACTGCAAGTAATAAAAAAATCTTTGCAAGTTCTGATAATGTTTAACGTTAGCTGACCACAATTTATAAGAGTTCGTTGTCCAATTTAAGGGAATAGTTTCATGTAAAAACTAATTTCATTTGCAATTTTATTTTCTTATTTCCAAATCTTTCGGTAGAGATTAATTGTTTCATTTACATTTCTTTTTCTTAAAAAGTGAAGATGAATCATCACCAGTGCTACTGGACACCAATCAGCATCAGCGGTGCTACTAGACTCCAATCATGTCGATCAGCCTTACACCGATAAGAATTATCCTTTCACTGACAAGGACTAACCTTTCACTGAAAAAGATTCAGCTACATTTAACAAATGTGCTGTGACATAATCTAATTACAAATGAAGCGAAAACGCCCACATAACTGACATATGCACTTATGAAAAGCAGGTTGGTACCCTCAAAATACCTAATTGTTGCCGTATATCAGCAGCCGAATATTCGGTGCTTCGGTCAAACACTAAGCCAATATTCGGTATTTAATAAAAATCACTATTCTAGTCAAAAGTATAGTTCGTCCGTATGTTTTAATCAAGTCAAAAATGTTTTCATAGTTAAGTCATCTTTGGTTAAAAAATATTTATTCCATAAGTGTTTTAAATCAGACAATTTTTCCCTTGTATAAATTTTTGGTTTGCAGAGCGCTTAGAAGATACCTTAAATAATTTTTTCCGTACATTTAAACATTTAAGATTTCAAAGACCCGCTCTATTTTGAATACTTTTTCAGAAAATTTGCCACCTGCAAGATTTTTTTAAAGATATTGTTTACACTTAATATATTTTATCTATAGTCTATAAAAATTTTTTGGGTATTCAGAAAGCCAACATATATATCTAAAATGTGAATTTTCTATGTTAGAGCCGTATTGTAAAATGTTAGTTTTCTATGCATAGAAAATTCACATTTTAGATATGTTTGCTTTTGAAAAACCCCGCAAAAATTTTAATACTTGTATAAAACTTGTTTTAAATGTAATTTACAAAAATTAAATTTTAGCATTAATTCGTGCCAATAGGAATAAAAAAAGTAAAGTTCTACAAAAATTTAAAAACATTTTAAGCCCAACATTTATATTTTGAACCCTACGCTCTGAAAAATACGCTCTGAAAAAAAAAAAATACCAAGATTAATGAATGCCGTATATGTGCTTGTTATGCATTGAGTATGTTTTTACACTTGCGTGCTATAATTTCAAACTTTTTAAATTTTTAAGTTTTGTATTTATTATATCATGAAAAGGTTTTAAGAAAAATGCAGAATTTTTTGAACGATAAAGATGATGCTACTGCTCAAAGCATTGTGAATGATAAAGTCGTGGACACTCCTCCTAACAAACGCGGTTTAGGCGTAGCTGCAGCAGTCTTTTTTATTGTTGGCGACGTTGTTGGAGCTGGTATTATAACGTTACCGTATACTATGAAATTGGTAGGATGGCTGGGCGTTCCGCTTTTTTTTATTTCAGCTATGTTAATGTGTTTATGCGGAATCCTTCTTTCAAAAGCTTGTCTTCTAGCGTTTTCTTCAATACAAAACAGAGATGCACTTAGAGATCCTTACCCACAGTTAGCTGAAAAGTCTTATGGTGTTATAGCAAAACATAGCGTTACTCTCATATTAAATTTATCGCTTGTTTTTACGTGTATAGTTTTTTTATTGTTGCTTGGAGAGGTTTTTAGCAAAATTGCCCCGTTACCTACACAAATGGTTAACAACAGAAACCAATTGCGAATATGGTTTATTGTTTGTGGCATAGTCTTATTACCTTTAACTTTTCTAGGAACGCCAAAAGATTTTCCATTGATTGGTTTTATAGCAACAGCATGTAGTTTTGCAGCAGCTATTCTAATTATGTTGAACTTAGCAATGACAAGTCATTCTGTTGGATACGTAGTGCCTAAAAAAACTTCTGCAAACTTTGAGACAATATTGGTTGTATTTGGTACAATACAATTTACTTTTGGGGGAATAGCCATTTTTCCAACTATTCAAAACGACTTACAACATCCAGAAAAGTTTCCTTATGCAGTTGTCATTGGATACACTATTGTTTTTTTTATTTACACTTCAGTTGCATTGAGTGCGTTTATTATTCTTGATGAGAAAATTCATGAAGATATTTTGACAACATTTTCTGAAATGCCACTTTTTCATACATGTGTTTATTTTCGTGCATACGTAACCATTGCTCAAGTTTTGATTTGTGGTCACGTATTATGCGCTTTTATAATGCTGGTCAACCCAATCAACCTACAAATGGAAGCTCTTTTTGATGCTCCATTACGTAAGTTTATGTTATGTGTACAAGTTAACAAATTGTTTCTGGACTTTAATATTTAAGGAGTTTAAATTAAAGATTTTCCTAATTTTTTGAGATTACTTTCACTAATTTAAATGTTAATTTAGTTTTACCTTAATAAGTAAAAAAAAACAACAGATGAAACCCGTAATTGAGACAAAACGCTCTTTGAGTAAAATTATTATATTTAGAGTAAAAAAACAGTTATAAATCAAATATTAAACAACGCAAAGAGTTAGATTTTAACTCTTCAGAACTTAGGGGGAAAAAAACTTAAAAATACTAAAAAACTAGGGCACAATATTGACAAAAAAACTATAAAACAATGGTAAAAAGTTGTCAAAACAAAACAACAAATAATTTTTATCAAATTTGTTTCGTTAAAAATGAGAAAATTTATGTCATTTAAAGTTATATGTTTTTTAAATCCACGCGCTTGGACCTATGCCTGCGTTAAATGCATACATACACATTCATTGCTGAATCGGTTTCATTTCACTTTTTTCGGTTTCAAGAAATAATTAAAAAAAAACAAAAATTATAAGCAAGTTTGAGAAAACAGTAACCCTCTAATTTTTAATGGGAAACGAAAAAATAATAATACATGAAATGCTAATAACATTTATTTTTAACTAATAATATTGATTTTTGCGTAAACACTTTTAAAATGCGTTAATTAACTCTTTACAATTCATTTTACGATTCACTAACAAAGTTTTTTAATGAAAAAACTTTTTACTTTTAAAATTGTAGAATAAAAGTTTATATTAAACTGTGGACTCTTGCACCTTGCACCTTTACTTGCACCTTTACTTGCACTGGTAAATAACTAGGCTGCTTAATAAATGTGCAAATCTTTAAGGCTATCAAAACACTAAAATTTTATAAACTTCTCAACTGAAATCTTTAAAAAATGCATAATATTGTGTTTAATAATGGAAGAAAAAAAGTTCATGAGATAGTTGAGCCTTAATGCTTCTAAAAACACATGGTTTATTTATTTATGCTTCTCAAAAAATGAGTTTATTTATTTTGGTTTTAATTAATTAATTTAAAATTAATTTAAAAAAAAAGTGTTTCTAATGGTTCTTGAAAAATATATGTTTGTGCAATAAGAAAACAATTTTTGCAAAGAAAAAACTGTGAGAAAGCTTCAGAGAGATGTTTGAGAAATTTGTTTGATTTGAGTATATAGAATTATATGTAAATATAATTGTATTAAATGTAAACCGATCACATCAATTAAAAGTTTCTGGGACGTTACAGCAATAACTACTCTATAATTTTCTGTCTTAAAGAAACCAAAGGTCACTCAGCAACAAAAGCCACACGGAATTTTTGGAATCAGATGGTTATGGGATCAAATAGTTATGGAATCAGATAGTTATGGAATCACATAGTTATTGAATCACATTGTTAAGTAATCACACAGTTATGGAATCAAATAGTTATGGAATCACATAGTTATGGAATATGTATGCAGGAACCTGCTTCTGCCGAACACTGGTTTGCAATAACAATCTACCGAGCCAACAAGGTTTAAGCCAACAAGTTTTAAGCAGAACTCTTAAAAAAATACGCGGACGACAAAAAGTGTTCTTTATGACAACGACCATCTTTATGACAACGACTATCTTTATGACAACGACCGTTCTCTGATTACGAGTTTTTAGATTTTTTTGATTTACTTTAAAAATATTTATTTCATAACATTAATTAATTAGTTAAAAATTAATTAATCTTTAATAAAGAATTATTTTCTATGACCTTAGCTTATCAACACTTAGTTAAATCTTTTTATTTGTTATTATTAAGTCCATTTTTTAGATAAAATTAATTTATGTGAATAATTTTAAGTTTAGCATGTTGTCAGTTTTTATGATAAATCTCGTTTATGGTTCGACACATCAAAATTAATGATAGAAACAACCTTAATGGTGTAACACATATTCTATTTTTAGGGCATATTTTTAGAGCATATTTACCTTTATGTCATGTATCTTACCTAACTTTATCACATATTCTGCCTTTAGGACATAATTTATCTTTATGTTACGTGTTTTACCTAATTTTATCTTATTAAAATTTGGTCATTTTGTTTATGTGATATGTTTATTAAAAATTTCCTTGGGGTAGATAATAGAGAAAGTTTTTCTCAGCCATCAATACCTAGCTTGAAAACTGGAAAAATTAAACAGAAGCATTTATAAGTTGGAAACGACCAAATAACTTGACTCGTTCCACAAATGCCACATTAAAGATTGTTTCCGCAAATGCCACATTAGAGATTGTTTCCTCAAATGCCACATTAGAGATTGTTTCCTCAAATGCCACATTAGAGATTGTTTTCATAATTGAGGACGCTTATACAGCAGGTTTTATTTTTAATAACATTATTTTAGTTTTAAATTAAAAATTAAAAAATCAAAAACTAAACAAAAATTGCAAATGCTTGTTAAACAAGAAAAAAAATTATACATAACACATCATATTTTTGCTAACTTTTTAAATAAATTTCTGTTCAAAATTTATCAACCTGTGTCAAACTAATTATATCCTAGCTAATTTTTTAATTAAGAATGAATAATAATTCACAATTTTCTGCAAAAGTTTAAATTCTTTAAATAGTAATTTGTTATAGTATAACAATGTAATTCATTTATTATAAATTATTATAACATTAAATTTTTATACACGATTGCTAATCAAATGAAAGTTTGTGGCATGAATAGTATTAACAGGACCTACATCAATATTTTTTGAGTGTCTAAAGTAACTTCCAGACATAAAGCCAAACTTCTTCTCCAAACCTCTAATTTCAAACTTTTGTTAAAGATGGATGCTTTGCAAAATTTGCTACAATTGTAGATTGAAGCAATAAAAAATCTTACAGACCTACTTCAAAATCTTTTTTTTGAAATATATAATTTAATAAATAAAAACTAAAGAAAAAAGTCTTAAAAAAATTTTTTCATTCAACTTGTTTAAAACCTCGTTTCCTACGTCTCCTGTTGTCGAACTTCTACAGACCCCCTCGTTCCTCTAATTAATGGACGTTTTCTGATGTATTTAAGTAATTCGATTACTACATTATTTAATTTAAAGACTTGAAATATAATGAAATTACTTATAATTATCGGCGGAGGTAACTTAATCATGTTTTTAGTAGTAATTTCATTCAATGTTTGCCAAGCGCATGTAGATTATTTCTAAATTTATCAAGGGGTCCCACTCAGGAGTTTTTATATTTTCTCATATGTTTATTATTGGTTATATTAAAGATTATGAAAGGTTATGAAAGTAACTTATAAATATTATAAAAGTAACTTAATTTTTTTGGATTTTAAAACTCATTTTTTGGTTTTTGCGTTGTTTGCATTTTTAAATTTGTTATCTTTTCAATAAATGAAAAGCCAGAAGTGTATACAAAGTAAAAATTTGATGCTTTTTAAATGACATTTTAAAAGCTTTAACATTTTTTCATTTTTTTTATTTTTTGCTTAATAAAACCCTAACCCTAACTCTAACTCATTACTTTGCAATAATTTTTAATTATAGGCAGTTTGGAGGATTTGCTATTTTAAACACAACTTTCGTGTCATTTTGTTTATATCATCCCAAGCCAGTTTGCTACAATATCTTGATGATAAATTAGGCCAGAACACATGTCTACGATGATGTGATTAAGTAAAAGACGTTTTTTTAGACACTCTTTATCATATATTTTACCAAAATGTGAGGACTCAGAAATATAGATGTTGATTTTTTGTCAAACCTTCAAATAGCCTACCAAGTCAAGGCTTTTTTTAAGTTTATTATGTTTTGTGTATTTAATTTTTTTATCTGCCTTTCCTCTAAATCTGGCGTTGTGATGGAGAGCGCCAGGAATTTGAGGATAATCGTACTTCATAAAGCTTTCATCATCTTTAATAATTCAGAAATTTTTAGAAATACAATTTTTTTATATAATGAAATATATCATAAAACTTTTTTTCAGCGGGTTATTGCACTTTTTTTGTAAAATTTCAGAACGTTTAGGCACTTTTTGTGCCTAACCATTTTGAATCATTTTTTTAGTTTGTTTTGCCTTTTAATATAAATGCAGTTTTCATATACATATATATACAATAATATAAATAGCTAGAGCAAGAAGAAGACATAATATCTTATCACCAAGCATTTTTTATAAAATCGTAATTTACAAATATTTTAATTAACCCTGACGTAAATATGTAAACTAGAAGGTAATATATCGTATTGCTTTATATAAGTTTACATAAAGTAGTAAATAGTATTTGTTAAACTGCTTTCATTTTCTACAGTAGCAAAAAAACAAAAACAAATATTACATATATACACATACCATTCTGAGAGAGAGGTAATATCATTAATAAACTTTATTATATGGATTTTGATATATATCTTAATTTTTATATTTGAGTTTAACTTTATTTAAAAGAAAAATATAAAATCAAGCATAGTGTAATTCATAAATAAGAAGTGATTCTTTTTTAAATTGATCTAGTTATCTTTTTATTTTAATCTAAGAATGTTTTCATAGATATGGTCCACGATACTTAATTGTGTATGTTGTTTTTGAGAATCTTGTACTATATTTATGACAGATTTCTCTAAAATAGGATTTAAATCCTATTTTAGAGAAATCTGTCATAAAAACAATCCTAACTTAATTGCATACATAAAGACTAAAATTGCATACATAAAGGCTAAAATTGCATACATAAAGGCTAAAATTGCATACATAAAGGCTAAAATTGCATACATAAAAACTAAAATTGCATACATAAAGACTAAAATTTGATGTAAATTGATTTTATTAATATTTAAATCTTTAAGTAAACACAGGAGAGATTCGCAAGGTTCTTCTCTCTTAGCACCAAATACAATTCAACATACATGTTTTTGTTTGCAGTAAAATTTTTTCAGTTTTGTATGGTTAGTTTTGTATACTTGCCTAAGCAACGTTACAGTTTCTTAAGCGATATTAGAGTACGTTAAGCGATGTTACAGTACGTTAAGCGATATTACTGTACGTTAAGCGATGTTACAGTATGTTAAGTAACTATGAATAAAAGCAAAATATAAACCTTTTCGTGATTTAAAATTAAGAAATGGTTTAGCTCTATATAACATTCCAATAGTTTTTAAAATTTAGTTTATTTTTAGTATGTTTATTTTGAATTTTTACAAAACTATAAGAAAACCCTTATTTTTTTGCGCGTTCCCATAGGGAGATGGTTTTTTTGCACCTTCCTATTGGAAAACGCAGTAATTCATAAAACTGAGAAATTATTCATAAAAGTTTTCTAACCAGTTTTATATCTTGAAAAACCTTCCTTCCTCCGTTACTAAGTTTGCGTCGGATAGAGTTTGTTTGAAAAAAACGTTAAATAACATAACTAACGGTGTAGGGCTGTATTCGTGACTTTTTCGCAACTGATTTTAAGTTGAACGAGAAAACTAAAACACTTTTTTGAAATTGTTACATCATTTTCTTTCAGCCTCTGAAGAAAATGAAGTATTTATTTTTTCACATTGAAGATGCTTTAAAAATTTGAGTGTATTTACGTTACAGGATGATTAAGTAATTTTTTTTTATAGTTATGGATTTTTTTTTTTAAGTTGATTTTTGAGGTGTTGGATGAGGCATTGCACCTCTTAACTTAAAAACATAAAAAACTTGAGGAATCTAAATCAAAGCAGTTGCAAAAGTTAAAAACAAAATTTAAAATCTTGATACGAAATGGTAACTATGGCGACTAGTTTTACTTAACATAACACTTTTTAACATTTTTTAATTAATTTGTTTTTCTTGTTTTTGTGCCTGCAATGCAATGCAATGCGCCTGTTATTCTTATTATATAACGCATATCCTAATATAAAACGTAATATAAGATATTTTAATAAAATATAAAATGATATTCTAATCTTAAAATAAAATTAAACGCTTGCATAATAAATTATGCACAGCATTTTGTCAATAGCTTAATATGTTAAAAAAAAAAGTTATGAAAAATTTACATTGTATACTTTACTTTTTGTTATAAAAGTTTATATTTTATTAAATTTTTTAACTTTATATACTAGAATACAGTTTTTGGGTATTATAGTATTTAAATTGTGTTATTTTATATCTATAGACTTTGGTTGGCAAAGACTCGTAATACGAACAACAATTGTTATTGTAATAGTGACAATTGCTATCTTTGTTCCAAATTTTGGGCCTGTCTTATCATTGGCTGGTGGAAGTTTTTTCAGCATTCTTAGCATTATTTTGCCTATTTTGTTTTACTGCAAGCTGGTTGATCACCTCAGTTTTTTCAAAGAAATTTTATTAGGAATTATTATAATTATTTCGGTAGTAGCTGCTGTTGGCAACGGTTACGTTGAAGTAATAAATGTAGCCAAAGTTATTAAGGGGACATATACATAAAAAATAAAATGCTCACTAAAAACTTTAATTAGTTATGTCGTTTAAAATGTTTTATTTACGACATTGTAAATAAATATTTATTTTGTTCAAATGTTAATAAAATTTTGTTAAAAACTTATTATTGTTTTAAAAAAACTTTACCCCCTGAGTTAGAGTTATAACAATGCTTTTTGGTTTTAAAGTTAACATCACCGTTGTAAACGTAGTTAACCATTAATTAAAAATATTTTTTATTACAGTTTTTAAAACTATTTCACGGGAGCTGTAACCAGCATTTGGTAATACAAGATAACACCTTATTTATGGCTTATAACTAAAAGTTTCACAGTTTGCAGATGATTCCAAAATTTAGTTCATGAAGACCAAGTCATATTCAACAGAGAGTATATATTTTGAAAGAATTAAAACATTCAAAAAAATTAGAGCAACAAAAAGTTAAATTTAGAAATACATAGCTTAACTTATCATAACTTATTGAAATTTAAGTTCAAAGCTACACAAGTTTAAAGTTTAGAAAAAAGCAAACATTTTACACAACACTTTGAGTTTTTTTGAAGATAGTAAAGCCAGAGAGGGTGCTGCTAAGAACTATAATGTCATCAACATATAACACTTGTGTAGTTGTGTATTGACAAATGACAATATGATAGAAGATTATTTCGTAGGAATTTTCAATCTAGAAACATTGATCAAAGTTGGTCCTATTCAAACTATAAAATAAAAAATCCCTAAAGATAGCAATATATTACGATTTTCTAGTACTTTTTACAATAAAAAACCTGGAAATGAAACTAATGACGTAGATAATTGCTTATGACGTAGATGGTTGCTTTACTCACAAAATCTCCATTTTTTTTGATTTTTAATTTTTTTTTGACAGTAAATCAAAGTAAAGGGTAGAACCTAAAAGTTGGTAAATAGATTCAAAAATGAAGGACTTTAACTAAAGACATTCTTTATTTAACTAAAGACATTCAATATTCCTCTTTACCTAGCTACAAATCATATGTGTGAATCCCTTTTTAACTAGCTACAAATAATATGAATGAATACCCATCATTAAAGTAGCTAAAAATATTATGAAAAATTATCTCTCTTTGCCTAGATACAAGTAATATGAATATCCCTCTTTACCTAGCTACAAATAGTATGAACGAATACCCCTATACCTAGCTATAATGTACCTAGCTATAAATAATGCAATGAATATTTCTCATTAGCTTGCTACAAAAACTATAAATGAATATCACTCTTAACCAAGCTACAAATAATATAAAAGAATATCTTTCTTTACCTAGCTACAGATAATATGAATGAATATCCCTTTTTACTTAGCTACAAATAAGATGAATGAAACAATCTCTTCTTAAATAAACTCTTTACCTAGCTACAAATAATATGGGTTCTTTGGAAAAATGTTTGAACAATTTTTTTTTATTTACATCTATATTATTTAGAGAAAACTGAAAGAGAAATTAAAAAAAAAATTAAAGAAAACTCTAATATAGTTGCTTGCAATGTCTGGAAACTGAGTGGGATATGGGTACTTCAGAATTTAAGGATTCATGGAATTACATTTTGTAATTGTAATAGCAAATGTTTTGGCACATATTTATTTATTAAAGAATGCGAACCGTTAGATCCGAAAAATTTGTAAGAGTTTAGATTGAGTTTCCGCGTTCTTTTTTCTTTATATATATTAAAAATAATCACTGGTAATTGTTTATATTGTTAAATTTTAGTAGGTTTTATGATTTATTTAGCAGGTTTGATGAAATATTTTATAAGTTTCATGAAATTTTAACGAAATGTTTTAAAATGTAATAAAGAACAAACTTCACTGCACCAGAAACGATCATTGGTTTTACTTTAATCACCGAGAAACGATCATTGTATGTAAAAATCTAATAATATATGTAGCGGTAGAGGACTTGTAAATCAGAAGGAAATCAAATAAGGTATCAAAATAGACCTAGATCTAGATGCGAGATCTAGATGCGAGTTAACAAAGATAGATTAAACGTATTAACTACATTCGTTATCATTCTACTATTTTGTCAAAAATATTACTGTTTTTATTTTTGTTTAGTTTATTCCTTATTTTAGTCTATTTTACTTCTTCATTTATAAATTCTTTAAAGTTAATATTGCCCTAATTATTAATTATTTGAATGTACAAAAAGGAAGTATTTTAAAAAGCACAGCTTTAGCCCTATAGAGTACGCCGAGACTTTTTTGATTATATTCTAAGAAATCTTTTCGTTCATAATTAGAGAAAAAATAATGTTTGTTGTTATTAATTTTTTTATTATTATTATAGCAATACAAAATATACATACAATATTCTAAGAAATCTTTTCGTTCATAATTAGAGAAAAAATAATGTTTGTTGTTATTAATTTTTTTATTATTATTATAGCAATACAAAATATACATACAATATATACATACAACGAGCAGGGAAAACACCTGTTCCGAATTTTATCCCCAAATCTTATTTAATTTTAAAAAAAAGTAGAGTTGTGTCGAAAATTATTTGCTTGGTTCCAGTATTTTGCAGATCTATTATATAGTTGGTTGTGACTTGGAAGACAGTTTGGAATGTATTCACGCCTTATTTTAAGGTGGTGACCACGTGACAAGAACTTAATAAATTTTAGTTGTTGATATTATTATATTGAAATTATTAATTATAATAAATCGATGTATTAGTTTAAAGAATTGGATAAGATTGCATCGTAGGCGCTGAAACTCAAGTGATGGTAGATTTAGTGTTTTTAGTCTTTCGCAGTATTGAAGATGTTTTAAGCTTAAGCCCATTCCGTTGCTTTAAGTTGAAAAGATTAAACTAAAGCATGAAAAATATATTTAAATAAAAAAAATTTTACTGTAATAATCTGAATTACATTTATACTGTTTGCCATTTAAAACGCTAAGTTTTTATTTTTTTTTAATTTATCTTCCAAAGAAATTCTTACATGTTTAAACATTAAAAGTTAAATCAAATCATTACGCTAGACAATTATGATTTAAATTTCCTGTTTAAAAATAGGAAAATATTATTTTGAGAACAAAAGTAGCACTACTGATGATTTGAAATCAAGTGCTAAAAATGTTAAATTTAAATTTAGTGTTTATCTTCATTAAAATTATTCAATAAAAGATCTTTAATCTATATAACTATTATAATTTTTTAGTTTGATTTTAAACAATTAAAATTATTAAAATATTAAAATTAAATATAAAACAGGAAATATCAATTAAAATATTAAAATTAAATATAAAACAGGAAATATCAATTAAAATATTAAAATTAAATATAAAACAGGAAATATCAATTAAAATATTAAAATTAAATATAAAACAGGAAATATCAATTAAAATATCAATATTAAAAGTGTCATGTTTTTGTTAGTGGAGATGTTTTTCATAGGAAATTGAATTCTTATTGTTTTTGAGTTCCAAAAAACTGAAAAATTGTATATGCATTTGATGTTGTAAATGCTTTTATTTCTTGAGGGGAGAATTTGCATATTTTACAACAATTATCTTTAATTACATTTAAATATTCCTATTTCTTAAAAAAATTGCTCATCGTCAGTTTTTAAATACGCGGCCCAAACATACACTGCAAATTAAAGGTGTGGTCTTATAAACACTTTATATAATTTGAGAGCCATTTTTTCATCAATGATAGTGAATTTTTTAGCATACCAAGAACTTGTAGAGATTTGGAGACAACTGATTGAATATGTGTGCTCCACTTGAGATTATATGTAAATATTACTACTAAATCACGCTATTTAGTAGAGCTTCTCAGGCTTTCATTTATACCTTGGTTATTTTGCAAAAAGTAACTGTACATAGGATTAACTTTACCATAATGAAACAGAGCATTTTAAAATGTTTAATTTGAGCAACCAAGTGTTTGACCACTTGAGTAGACGATCCTGCAGATCAACGAAATTAGTCTGCTATAGAGTTTTAGAAAAAAGTTTAGTATCGTCAGTAAACATTTTAGAAATTTCAGTAAGTTGTGCAAGATCGTTTGTGAAGAGAATAAAGAGGAGCGGGCCGAGAACAGAATCTTAGGGTGGTACATCATCAAATATTCTAAGTTCTTCAAAACTTGAAAAAAATAATCAGTTTGATATTAATACAAAGTATATAATTTAGGAATGCTTTTTTATACTTAACTTTGTTTTGTCTCGCTTATTTTGCCTCGCTAATATCAAAAATCCGTCTTTTTGATTGTTCTATTCAAATCACAATATCTTGAAATATATTAATACATAACCTATAAAATCTTTTGCACATGTTCTAGACATGTAAACTAACCCAGCGGGCACGGAAACGTCCATATGACGTCGAAAGGACGTCTTTTTAGGACGTCCGGAACTGGTTCTAAATGGCAACGCCAGATGACGTCTTTTTAAGACGAAATTAGGACGTCTTTTTAGGACGGAATAAAGACGTGTTTTTAGACGTCTAAAATACGTGAATTTAGGACGTTCAGAACTAGTGCTAAATGGAAACGCCAAATGACGTCTTTAAATAACCTAATTTAGACGTTCTCATTTCGACGTCTAAATTACGTGTTTTTACATGGCTTTACTTAAACGTAAGGTTCAAATATATGTTTTTACAGAACCTCTTGAGAATAAGAAAAAAATAATAAATCATTTAAATTTTTTAATAATATAATTGTGCTGAGTTTTATAAATTACAACTTTATAAACTTCTTCTTCCACTTGTTAATTTCCAAGAATCAAATGTTCAAACAGTTGACGTCATTCACCTTCTTTTCGATCAGGTGCACTCTTTAAAATATTATCGCCAGCATTTTAAAGTTGTTTTTTTGCTGTAGGAATCAGGAGAGTAGTCTTAACCCTAAAAAAATATTGTCAAGACAAGTATGTAAAAATAAAGGGGTTAGAAAGAAATAACACACACACGCACGCACACACACACATATATATATAATAATTATTTTACAAACATAACATCAAACATCAAAAAATACGAATTTCTCAACTCAAAATTGATTTTTTTAAAGAA